TATTCTACCCTGTTTTTATATAGGGATACACACAATTTTACAAAACATTTATTTGTTTGTTTGTTTATTTTGGCTTTGCTTTTGGATTTCTGGAGATTATAGAACCTCCATCATACAAAGTTAAATATTAATTATATTATTTGTAGAATTAATAATTAACCACACTTGATTATTAAGATATATAAGTTGAACAAAAGGAGTCAAATATGCCTCAATCTCTGATTTGAACAACTGGGTACCATTCACTGAGACACGAAAAATAGAAATAAAAGGAGTTTTGGTAACCACATAAGTTCAGTTTGGTATATATTCAGTTTTGTGCATCTAAATAAATCTATGTGACGATATCTATTAGTAGGCTAGACCTACAACCTTGAGGCTGTGGAAAGAATGTAGACTAGGAATAGAGTTTTTAGGACCGACAGTACATTTGTGGGTAGTTTAAAAAGAGATCTAGTAATAACAGGTCTAGAAATAAAGTTAGATGAACACTGAAATATTAGTTTTACTTTGGTGCCAAAGATTACAAAAATCTTCAAAAGAAAGGAGCAATATGAGCAAGTACATAGAAACTTGTAACTACTGATGTGTCAGGAAAGAGCCAAATAATCCACTTGACTGAAGAACAAGACATTAAGGAAAACTTAAATGTTGGAAAAATAAGTAATAAACTCAACCAACAATTATTAAATGTCTGTTATGTATCTGGTACCCAAAGGACTTATTCAATAACCATTTTAAAAATAATTATTGTAAAAATAGTTATCTCATATGAAAGCACTGAACAGAGTTTAACATATAGTAACCAATAAAAATTAGTTTTTACTAATTTTTGGATACAAAGTCAACAGAGAGCTTCATAGGTTGAGCTGAAAAGACCCATGCAGCAAATATACATTCAATAATATAAACATTTAAAATAAAACAGGAACACAAAGCATGGAGTAATTAAAGTTGAATGTGTGGTAGGGTGTTTATTATTGAGAACAACACAAATAGGGGGACCTCTGAACTAGATTTGAAAAAGGGTGTCAAAATTCTGGGACGGTAAAAAAGAAAGGCGAGAAGACAGGTATTTTAGGGAGAACTGTAGGAACTGATGATTTTTAAAACATTGTAGATAATAATGTCATTGAAATTTTGAGCATAGAATAAACATCACATCACCCATCTATCCATCCACCCATCCAATTATTCAGATGATTTGTTAACATTTATTAGTGCCTAAACAAACACACATGGAAATGTGCCGAGCTCTGAGAAGTAAAAATCAGTAATGCATGGTCTCTGCCTTCAAGGAACCTTCCTACTCAACTGCAAAATGCAAACATGTCAGCAGTTCATTGCAGTCAAGTAGGACAGATGTGAGCACAGGTATCTGGAAGCACAGAGTAGGGCTGTCCACCTTAGATCAGGGTACTCAAGGAAAGCCTCCAATGTGGCAACACTTCATGGGGCACGGGAAACTGGCTTCCCACACAGTGGGTGCAATGTACAGAAACGAAAACACTGAGATGTGGGGGGGAAGACACACACGCATTAGGAAATAAGTACAGTGTTAAGGAGTTTGTTTCTTTGAGGATGAACTGAGTACAAAGAGATGAAGCCGGAAAAAAAATAGTTTCTAAAGCTTGTCATGTTAATAGGATTTTAGACTTAACCCAGAATCAATAAGGATTCATAGAAGCACTTCAGGCAAAAAA